TCAGAAAAAACTTAGAATGGAAGTCTCCTGGATTACGGTCGAAAATCAGTACACGTCTCATGTCGGCCCAAAGTCGCAAGCTCCTAAGATCAGAATACCGCCTGTCCCACTCTGACTCCGTTGAGATCTTCAATAGGAGTTAGTGTGCAGTGTCCATAACAAGTTACCGGATCAAGAAAGAGAATGTACATTCTGTGAGAATTTAGCTAGTGAACATTGTTTGGTTTTTCAAGAAAGAAGAAGTGCACACAAGCAAGTTCTGAACAACAGAACTGACGAGCTGGTTGCAAAAAGCAAAAGGATAAATTTGAAGTTCAACAAGTTGAGGAAGTTTGCCTAAAATGATATGTTGGAGAGCGGTTGGAAGGATTTCAAGACAAACGCGTCCTCGGAGAAATGCGTGAAGCGTATAAGGTTTCGAAGGAGACTGTTTGGTGAGAGTCAAATCACCAGTGACCTTTTTAATTGTTCAAGAAAAAATTGCTCAGGCCTCTCAAAAGGATTTTTGTCTGATAGTTGACTTGCTTCGAGAAAATTTATTTATACTTTGAGGGCGCAGTTGTACTCAATCTGATCAAAAAGGAAGCAGAACAGAACCGAACAATTACCGGAGAATTTTCTTTCTTGACCAAGGTGGCAAAGTGTTCGCAAAGGTGATTGCAAAAAGAGTAAAAAAAGTAGCTGCCCAACATCTCACTTTATCAATTTGGGTTCCAAAGTCGCAGGTCAACGGGCCCTGTTATCTTGGCAATTAGATGTTTGCTTCAAAGTAGGATTGAAAACCAGCAACCTCTTTCTATGACTTTCGTCGAACTGAAGAAGGCTTTTGATTTGAATGATACGAAAATGATGTTTATTGTGTTGAGGTTATTTTGGAAGCCCGGAAGATATCATCAGTGTGATTGAAGCGCTCCACACCAAAACCATCGGCAAGCTTATTACGAATAAATTTTTTGTAGTGAGCCGGGGGATGCAGCAAGGGTGCATATTGGTCCCATTGTTGTTTATCATCCTTTTTGATTTCCTACTAAGAAAGACCAGCGGTGAGAAAAGATTTTTTGCGTTTGCTGAAGATCTGGCTTTGATCTCTGAAAACAAAAAAAACCTACGAAGTCGCTGAAAGGGATGAAAAAAACCTTTGGATAAGCTCAATTAGAAATATCTGTCGAGAAAACTAAAAGCATTGTAATCATGACCGAAGACAAAACAGAGGTCCCTATCAATGTGCTCAGTGAACAGGTTGAACAGGTGAATCACTTTGAGTACCTTGGCAGCATCATATCATCTGGTGGCAGCGCTGACAAGGCTATCAGCGCTCGCATTTCTAAGACAAGGATAGCTTTGTTACAACTTAGACCGACCCTGTTTTCAAAAAAAATTTTACACTAAGGAGCACGGGTCTCCTCGTCGAGACTTTTCAAGGCCAGTTTTGCTTAATGGCATAGAGACTCTTGTTATCGGATTTACTGACTTGGTAGATAAAAAGAGGTTATACACCGTTCTGAAAAATGTGGCTGTGGCTAGAAAAGAGAAAAGATATGAGACTAAAAGAATTGAACGAAAAGGTAAAAGAACGCCAGTCGCACACCAACTTTGCAGGAGAAGGGTTGAAATGTACGGTTCCTTTAAAAACATCGGAGTCGATAGCTCGAATGATCTACTTGAAGATGGTAAAATTTAGGAAAAAGACTGAATTAGGCAGCTTGGAGCTCATCTTGACAACCTTGGGGCTCAAGACAAAGCGTGACCAGGATAACTGGTTGGCAAATCGGGCAACCAAACTTAAGATCACAGTTGGTGGGGATTTTAAAGCAAATGCTAATGATAATAGATCGCAAACAATTCAATGTGCCAATGAAAACTGTGGTAGAATGGTACATAGCAAAAAAAAAGATGAACAGGCATCTCAGAACCCTCAGAGATAATCACTCAGAACCCCCGGTCCAAACCTACGATAGTAGTGAACTTGAAACTGATAAAGGAATTGAAAGCATTATAGGAAACGAAATAACGGCAGAGATACCCCATTAGCCCAGCAACGGGAGGTCCACGAAAGGCAAATTCGACTGTCCTTTTTCCGACTGTAAAAAGACTTATATGTCTATGTCAGCGGTTGAACTAAACACATGCAAATTTGCCAACCACATGTGAATTTGTTCAGCCCATCAGAGTAAAATTGGCGTTGTCCTGCTGCGTACACTCAAGGTGCAATTATGCAGAATGTAGCATCATGACCACCACTGCTAACTCGGAAAGGTAGAACGGTTTCCCGGTGGTGTTTTTCATTTCGTTTGAATTAGTTCTAATGATTTGATAAAGCCAAAACCATTGCCCCTGGTCTTTACCAGCTCGGATGCAGATGGGAAATACTTAGTATCTATGTCTTTAAAATTTCTTTGAAGGTAACAACTACTCAAACAAAATAGAAGAAAGATTAACAGAACGGGTTAGCTTAAGCTCAGGGTTTATTAGGAGATCTTAGCCATGGTCTTAACGGAATGACTCTGATGGTCTGGTTTTTAGAAAATTGTTATAAGAGTCTTCCTCGATTTCTAAATAGTTTTTTAAATCCATACTGACCACCAGACGTTCCACTACAAACTGTTTTTCGATTTGTCACTATTTCACCAAGGGTGAAAAAAGAAAATTGATATTTGACTTTTTTGTAGAAACTGAAGCGCAACATTTTATGCATGGCATCAACTTTGAAAACACAATTTTGTTGAAAAATCAATTTCTTTTTCTATTAAAAGTTAAATTTTTAGTTGAGAAAAGCATAAAAGCATCCTAAAATTCACGATGTTTCTTCAGACTTCTCTGAAAAATAGGTTTTTTCACAGTTTTAATGATGATAGGATATTGAAACTGTCTTAATTTTTTTGACATTGTTTTTTTAAAAGAATTGTTGTAAATATTTTGAAAAACACAGTGTAAGCTTTATGTTTTTCCAGCGTACTTTGAATTCCTAAAATATATAATTTTAATCCAAATCAAACGAGAGCAAACCTTGGTATAAAGTTTCAAAAACAATTGTGATATATTAAAAAATCATTTATATAAAGACTTGTCTTTGACATGAATAAAAGCTAGCTCAAAATAGTTCTTTCTTTCTAGCCCAAAAAAAAATAAAGTAAATGACTTTCAGTAAATCTAGGAAGGAATTTGAATTAAGGTCGAAGTACTCAGAGCGATCGTTTCAGTTTCGTTGGTTTTCTTTTTTGTTTGTAGCCAGACATGGAGAAGGTATGAACTGCCACGTGACCGCATCCGCTGTCCCATAAGCCATTGAGTTCCCATAAGTTTCAAATAATCATGCTCAACAAATTCTGGCAGTAAAACAGAAAAATTTCATTCTGTGGGGCATTCGGTGGGTTTCGAAACTAGGTTACAAACGCGCTCATTTTTGTGGAGAGTTTTGAAATTTGTTAAGTTGCAATATCAAATCTCATTTCTCATTTGTCGGTAGGTGTTGCACTCAAAGTGGAACTATCATTAACTAATTGAGGATGAGACATTTTCGATATTAAGGACGTGATTGGTAAAATTATATCTATATGAGTGAACTATTTTGGTGTTTGGATTTTCGCAACATCATTATCGCTATTGGTATTAAGAACTTGCACGCAAAAATTGAACAGTGAATGGACTTAAATAAAGTTCTATTAATTTTTTTGTTCATAGTCTTTTCAATTGTGTGTCAAATACTGCTGCCATGACCTAATTACTGTAATTTAACGGTTAAGCAATGATAATTTTGACGCTTTCTCTCCTTTTTTTCAAAGCAACATTTTTCTACCAAACATGGTAACCTCAAAAAGTTTCAAAAGTCTAAATGGTGCGAATTTAGTACACGCAAACAAAATACGACAGTTTTTGCATGCCTGTTTTCTTTTTTCTACTGATTTTTATATTATGAATTTTAGTGAAAAAAATTGCACGGCAAATATTATCTTTGTTACAAAAAACGGTTTCAAAAATCTTGATTAAAAAGTTGAACACGTTTTTCTACAAAATTGTGCAAATGACGAGCGAAAAAAATAAAAAAGCGAGTCAGTCAAAAAGACGTTTTAAAAAGTCAGTGAAAAATTACCTGTCTGAAAAATAAAAAAAATAGACCAGCTATCCAACTATTGAGAAGGTAAAATTCCAACACCAAAGATTTTCTTCTAGCTTTTCGGTTGAATGAATAATTCAACAAAATAAAAATCAGTCAAAGAAATAAACACTAGCTAACCATAGAGTCGGTGAACAGGAAATGAAAAATAGAAAGCTAAAGATATTCGCGGTAAGTTTCATCCGATCGCTGAAGTTCTTGGTTTACGTAAGAAAATGAACTACAGTTTTATGACTTTTCTCCCTTAACTAGCACTATTTTAAATAATCAATAGTTTCGCCAAGAATAAAATCAGTTTAGATTTGAGAAAAGTAATGACTCACTTAAAATCCCAATTTTTGTGACGAGTGTTCGACTTGTATAATGAAACATAATTGCTTAGGATGCCCAAAAAAACTGAACTCAGACAAAAACATATTGCGTAGGATGGCTAAAAAGCAAGCCCGCAAGCAGTTTTAGTAAATTGATATCAAGTTTTTGATATCCAGTCTTTGAGGCTCGGCTTATTTGTTAGCAGTCAATAGCAATCATGGTATTGCCTGTCGCTACGCTCCTCTGGAACCCATACTGTTGTTTTGCTGACTGCTTTACAGTTTTAAAATTTCGTTGCATCGAAAACATATTGGGAAAACAAAACAATTAATATTCAAACAAATTTTTCAGCTTTTCCACTAAGTTTGTTTTTGCTATAACATTTTTTCATTGTGGCTAGATCTGATGTTTAGAGAGCTGAACTTGTTTGAAAAACTTTCGATTGAAATGAACTTTTTTGTAAACATCTAGAGAGCCTTCAAAATCATTTATTTCATAGAAGAGAACTATTTACGCAAACTTTATACATTCAAGAATATCATAAATAGTTTTGTTAAAATAAACTCACTGAAGATATTTGAAAAATTCACAAACTAGATTATGAGCTAAGTGCAAAAACTATAAATCTTAAACTTTTCAAGCCTTGCCAGTTTTAATCCGATAATTAGAAGCCTGCCATGACAAAACTAATTAGGCAATCAATGATCGAAGTTATAGAAAAAATAATATCTCCATAGGGTTTTAAGTTCGAACTGTATACTTGGTCGACAATACAACAGCTTTTGTTACTTTTCTACAATCAGGGTTAGCTTCTCTGTATATTTCTGCGCGTATACTTCTTGACTGCAGAAGATGAGAAGTCGTCACTTTTCTGACTTTTTCTTGTGACATTTGGTTAGATTCGCTAGCGCAAACTCGTTTCTGCTTCCATTGCATCTCCAGAATAAAACAAAAAAACTGGAGAACAACAAGAGCTTCGCCAAAAAAGAGAATACCAGTCAAGCCGTCTTCAATTTTCGACACAACTGCGGTCTTACAGCCTGCATCAAAAATACCATATGTGCCTTCGCCCAAAACATCACAATTTGGGAAATCAGGTTTGCAACATGATGATGGAATCAGTCCTGTAACGTTGCACCAGTCCGTATAATTGTTGATTCCACAGCACCCAAACTTATGTTGGAAATTATCCCAGGCAGTCCCGTTATTTTCTCTGTAGTTGTTTATTGAATCATTAAGCCAGCCTTCGACTCTCTCCTCGAAATAAGTTCCGCGTTTCAGATAAAGAGCTAGCAAAACAATTTGAAGAGCAATAGCAATTATATGCTGGATTAATGTCAATCCGATTATGACTAAGGATTTTCCCCGAACAAAACATCCATAAAAATCCAGAGCGAGTGTTGTATAAACCACAAAACTGAAAATGGTCGCCACGATACAGGCGATGAATCTCATTTCGTCCACCATGTGTTTGATATCCTCGATCAAACCGTTCTCGATTACACACCAGACAGTAATTATTAAGATTGAAACAAGGACTCCTTTGCCCCATCGAGTTGTGATTTTAGTGTCTAAGTCACCGTTGTCTTTTTCAATTTTTGTGGTGTAAGGTATGATGCAAATAAGAGGGTAGATCAGTGGGAACAGAATCAGAAAGCCATTAGAAACAAGTAGGAAACTAAACATAAGCAATTCAAATTTGTATGGATAGGTGCTATTTTCTCTTTTGTTTTGTTCTTGTTTTATGAAAAAACAATAGAAAACCCAAAAAATAGGCAAGAGCTGGATTGATGCCACAATGAATCCAGCATAGACTACAATACGTTTATAATCCTGGATTCCCGATTCTAACGAAGATTGACAGCCCACTTCGTAGACTTGCCCAGAAATCTTGTCTGAGTTGCAATGGGGGAAGTCTGGCCCGCAACAAATTGACTCTCTAGAGCGGTTTCGGGCGCAATCCGGAAACTCAGGCTTGCAGCATGACGGCGGTATTTTCAAATCGCTATTTTCCGACAAATCTGTGTAGTTGCTCACAACGCAGCAGTTATGTCGAATTTGATATACATTCCATGATTGAGGTAGCAAAGGCATGGTATCGATCAAAAACTGATCGAATTTTTCTTGATCAACTTCAAACGTTTGCTGCTTGAACCAGAAGATTAAATATATCTCGAATAATACTCCAAGTGCCTGAAGAACGCTAAACACAAACGGGTATGTCTTATTTTCCCCATATATTGCACCAATCCATCCAACCACAGAAAACCAGAGAATGGTTCCTATTATAGTTGGTGTGACAATTAATACATTTGGAGCGTACTCTAAAAAATTATCATCAATTACAAATACAGATAAATCTGACGCGAGACCAAGAATAAAGTAAAGACAAACGGCTAAAACACCGGAGGGAAACAAACAAAAAATAAAAGCAACGAAAAGTAATACTGCGTACAAGAAACACCAATTGAAAAATGTAACACTATCTCTCACACGTTTACAAATTTTCATAACTAGAAAAGGTTTAGTACTTTTACAAGCAATGGTAAAACAGAAGCAAAGTTTTACCAACAAGTATGATTATAAGTTGAGATGAATTAAGTTGGGTTAAAATCCAAATAGTAAGCGCTCATATAGTACTCAAACCAGAGGAAATTTATCTGAATTGTCAAAATGGATAAAACGGTTTGTAAAAAATTAATTGTGAGCAAACGTATTTAAAAAATTTTTCTTGCTGTAACCAGCCTGTGAAAAACCAGCAAACATGGTGGTTTGAAAAAACAGGCTACACAATGAAACACAAAACACACAACTGACAAAAACAATCTCAGTAAACTAAGACAGTAGGGAGATAGGATAAAAAACAGTCAGTAAAATCAAAACTGAATGCTTTCTTTTTGGTACGTATACGGGAAATGAATGCTTTCTTTTCAGTAAAATACAATGAAGAAAAAAAAACGCAAATGCAAATGTGTGCTTTTATCTGTTTTTCATACGCTTTTGTGATTCCCTCTTTTTTCTCAGTTTTTTCAGCTTTTTCCTTCTGCGATATTTTTATGCTTTCTTTTCACGGATTTTCAAACACAGTTTTCCTGTTCTTCGCTTTTTTGAGTAATAAAATCATAAAAACGTTGCTGCATCGAAGCAACTGCTTGATGAAATATAACAGAAAAATTACGAAGTAGACGTAAACGTTCCTGCATAAAAAAATTAGACAGTGCTTAACTGCTATATAGACAAGAAAGAAGCATAAAAATAACGAAACACCTGCTCGGTCAAATATCCCAAAATATAAAACGAAGGAGGCAGGTTATTTTCCACTTAATAAATGATACAATTGAATCGCTTTTTAGTTTTTGAATATTGTTTTTAATTTTCGTAAAATGCACCTTTAAAAAAATAGATGAACAATATACAAAAAACGGAAGCCACAGGGAGAAAACATTCCATTGAAAAAAATAGCCTTTAGTTCCATATATGAATCTTTTTTCAAATGAATATATATTTTTTCAATTTTCTCTACTTGTCTTGAAATTAGTCTTGTAAGAAATCAATTCATTGTTTGGCTGACTTATCATTTTCGGTGTACCTGATTTTTCATGGAAAAAAATAACAAGCTAAAACATGCCCGAAGAAAAATTTTCTCTTCTATTTTCTGAGCTTGGAACAAAAAGGTTTCTATCGAAGCTAAGCGGATGTTTCCGGAGTTCCTATGATAAAGTTTTCAATCTTTAGTTGATTGCTGGGTAAAAGTTAAATGGTAACCATTACGAGGCCAAACTGTGCATTCTGTGAACCGTAACGGATTCTAGAGACTTTCAAACACCAAATTGTGCTTCTGCTCAGTGCACAGTTTGGCCTCGTAATAACATAATTTTTAACAAATAAATCGAAACGAGATGAAATAAATTATTTAATCAAAGATACTGAAAATTAACGCATGATGTAAAATTAACGCGTGAGAAATTAACGTATGAGTAAATTAACGCATACTGGAAAGTAACGCATGAGAGAGTTTTCATAGTTTTCATGATGTAAAAATTAAAGTCTATATAGAAAATGAAAATTGGAATCAAGTGACTCTTTTTTAAACAAAGTGCTATTTTCTAGTTTGCATATAAAAGCAGCTCTGTTTTTTTTCAAGGAGTTTTTGAACATTGGAGACCATCAGTGCGGCTGTCCCTGGCACCAACCCGGCGCCAGGTCTGGACAAGGGAACTAAATGACAACAGTCTTTGTTCCAATATTCAATTAAAACAATCGATTAAAACAATGTTATCTGAAATAGGAAACTATTATAAACACAATCAGAACATAGTCCAGTATGCCCCCTCAAGTCTTTTCGTAAAGGGCTGAATAGTTCACCTGCAATGTTTCGAATAGTTCATTACTGCAGATACTCAAAAGCACTCGTGGATAAGCATGTCGTCTAATAACGCTCCGACGTCCTCAGCTGACGACGAGTTGTCCGATTACCTGTGCTGTTTTCAATCACTTCCTCAACCAGTCCCGGTTTATTGTGAGGCTCCAGGCACTTGAGAGCACGGGGAACCTTACCTTGTGTGGACAACAGTGTAGTGGTTGCGTCCGACGACTCTGTCTGACTCACATGCTCCAAAGGCAAAACACCTGCCGTTGGGTTTTGTTGTTTGAAGAGATCTGGCTGATCAGGTTGCAGTGACGGCTCGCAGATGTCCAACGGATCCTTCTGTATACTCGGGTGAACCACTGATGATGGTTTGACTAAAGTTGTCAAAGGCTTTACCTGCGGCACCTGTGTCAAACTGACATCGGTTGGTCGAGGGTGCTCACTTAGGCCTCTGTGGTCTCTGTGAACAACTGGAAGGAACTTACGCAGAAATTTCCTATTTCGCAGAGTTACACGACCTGAACCATCCACTCTAACTATGTACTGGTCGAACTGACGTACCTCAATAACAATACCTGTCTTATCCCATTTGGTCGGATTTGGACCGGTTTGGTTTTGTATCCGGACATTATCGCCTACCCGTAGCGGTGGCAGATGATGGGTGTGTTCTTCAAGTCGTTCTGAAATCCGTGCATGGCGGATACGAAGGGCATCTTCACGGGCAGCCAAGGTTTCTTGCCAAACTTTGTGTGGTTGGTACTTACCAGGGTGAATGGGAAGGAAATCCCGTGTTGGCCTGCCAAAAACGCACATCGAGGGAGATAACTGCGTGGTTCTATCTGGCGTATTGCGATACTGAAGCATTGCTCGATGGAAGTTGTCAGTGTCCAGGCATCCGTTCTTATCGGTATTATCAGCTATGAGTCGTTTAATAGTTTTCACGCCAATTTCTGCACGCGAGTTGCTGTGCGGGAAAGCCACGGACGAAACGCGGTGCGAAACGCCCCAACTTTTGAGGAATGTTTGAGTATCATGTGACATGAATTCCGTTCCTCCGTCTGACGACAGCTCGTCGCTTATACCGAATGTCACAAAAAGCTGCCTCAAACAAGTAATTAATCCTTTAGAACCATCGTTGGAACGCTCTACCACAGGCCAATTACTGTATCGGTCTACGACTACAAGGTAACGTTGCCCACCGTATCGGAAGTAATCCGCGACTACACATTGAAAGGGGTACAGCGGTTGGAAGGGTGGCGTTGGCGGTTGGCTCGGTTGGGATGGCGCATTTCTATTGCACGTGGCGCATCTCTCTCTCCACGCTGTAATTGCCGGAACCATTCCAGGCCAGAAGACGGAGGACTCAGCTCTTGATATCATCTGGGAAACACCTTGGTGCGCGGAATGCAAGACGGCGAGTGCTTTCTGCCGAAGCGATGGCGGTATTACCACACGATCTTTATAAAGGATAACTCCGTCGTAGGTAGAAAGATGATCACGGTATTGAAAGAATCCTTGTATGGCATTTGGCACCTGTTGTCGCGATTTTGCGAAACCCGCTTCAATATGTTGTAGAAGGAGTTGACACGATGAGTCGCTAGCTGTGCTAAGACGCACAGATTCCCAGGTAATCTTACTAAGGACATCTCTGCTTTTGTTATCAAAGGAAGAGCAAATCTCGGTTTCTTTATTGTCGTGTACACGAATAGAAGCCAGGCACATAGTTTCTGGTGCGCCGATTGACTCAGTGGGTTGGTCGTCAGGCAATTGCATTTCTTCGGAAACCCCCACAGGATTACGTGAAACACTGTCAGCAGCTGCGTTTCTAGCTCCAGGAACGTGGACTATACGAAATCGGAACCGCAGTGTCTTCTCTTTGAGGTTTCGAAGGCGTGGGTTCTCTATGTCATGTAGCGATCTGTCCCCGAACACCTTGACGAGAGGTTTGTGATCCACAGCGATAATTAAATTATCGCAACCAAGGACGAAGTGACGCGATTTTTCGAGTGCGTCGACCACGGCTAGCGCTTCACCTTCGATTGGAGCATATCTTGACTCTGCACTGCTCGTGAACCGGCTGCCAACGAGGGTCACACGCCATCCGCTTGTGCAACATAAGGGTTTGATGGGCTGGCAGTCACAATGTTTTTGCGTTAGCCAAAAACCAATTCCAGACTTGCTCCAGTCAGTCGCAAGACAAGTAGGTCTCCCCTTATCAAAAATTTCCACACCTGAGCGAATCTCGTTGATTATGACATTCTTAGACGCTTGGAACGCATGCTCAAGATGATCTGTCCATTGGAACGGTGTACCAGGTTTTAAAAGGTTCCGAAACGGACTCATTTGAGGCGCTGCAGCGAAGGAATACGAGATTTGATTAACAAGACCGAACCAGCTTCGGATGTCCGTGATGTTCTTGGGCGATGGAAAACTTTCAATGGCTTCTAAGTATTGGGCACATGGACCAACGGTGCTATTGCTGATCTCAAATCCTGCGAAATCGACAGTTTCTTTCGCAAAAACAAACTTTAAAGGGTTTAGAACAATGCCATTGCTGCCACATAGGTGAAGCCATTCTGCGGCTTGTGAAAATGCCTCTGCGATGTCACTCGACCACAATAAAGTATCATCAATGCATTTTGTCTTGTTAGGTACCTGTGAAACAATTTCATCAAACCTGCGTGTATAGCCGTCTCCTGATGCGATGTACCCCTGAGGTGCAGCACAGTACCGATACCTTCCCCACGGTGTGATGAAAGTGGTGTAGTGACGATCATCTTCGTGAAGGGAGATGCTGTGATATCCATTCCAGGCATCGAAAACCGTTTTGAGAGTGTTGCGTGGAACCGATCGCGCCTGATGGAAAGGCGACTGCGTATGATGCGTTTCGCGAGAGGCGTGCTGATTCAGTGGTTGCAAGTCAACGGTTCGTCTGGGCTTTCCAGATTTTTTGGCACATATCACCATCCTGTGACACCACCTTGTTGGTTCACCAACGGCAACTGGTTCAATTACTCCCAGACGGACATCTTCGTCGAGCGCTGCTTTCACTTGATCCTGCCAGTGTAGTGGAACTGGTATTGGTGTGTGGACGCACGATGGAGTCGCTTCCGGGTTGACGTGAAGGCGTAGGGGTGGACCAGACATGGTTGGAAGAAGTTGATGGGTGCACACGTTAAATGTACTACTACTATACCTGTCTTTCAGCCAGGTTTCTAGTTTTTGCCGGTTCGCTGCAACTGGCGCAAATGGGATCTCAGAAGGGACCGGTGGCGGTGGTTTGCGCGTTGGGCATTGGCATGCACGGTCACTGGTCACTTGACATACCGAGGAGTGGGTTTCACCTACTGTAGGAAAGTTCTTAGATATAAGCCCAAGGGCAATGCATGCCTGTTTAGACAAGAACAGTCTTTTAGTGTCATCGGTCAGGTATATGATCTGACGAGTTTCGGCACTGCCGGCTGCTGATTTTCCACCAACTCGCGCTACAATTGCACCGGAGATCTTGATACCTTGGTTTGTGGCGGCCGACATCTGCATTGTCA